ATTTTGCAGTTTTTATCTAAAATCTTTTTTCTGTTCTAGGAGCTCATCAAGGAACCACATTACATTTACTTGTCATGTCATCTTAGCGTTTCCTTGGCTGTCAGAATTGCTCAGATTTTCCTTGTTTTAATGACTCCTTGAAACTTTTTTTTTTTTGGAGAGGTTTTTGCTATAGGGTGCGTGTGCTCACCGGACAGAGAGAGACAGAGAGACAGAAAATGAGAAATCCCCCCCCAGGGTGGATGGCCACACCACAATCCCTTTTCCTCCATTCTCCTCTTGGAATCTTGGGCACGCACGCGCACACGCCTGGCGTGAGTTTTAAGTCACCAGGTCTGGGATACGAACCACAGTTGACTACGTGGGAGTCCAGCGACATAGCCATTACGCTAACTGCTGGTCCATGACCCCTTGAAATTTTGAGGATACTTGTAGAATGCTTTTCTATTGGGAGTTTTGTGACATTTGTCTCCTGACTAGACTGGGATTATGGGATCTGGGGAGGAAGACCACAGAGGTGAAGTGCCATTTTCATCATGTTATATCAAGGACACATACTGTCTCCTCCATTTTGTGCTGTGTAACCAAATACTTGAGACTGAGTGATTTATAAGGAATAAAACAGTGTGGGACCAGCAGATGGCATAATGGTTACATTGCTGGACTCCCACATGGTCGACTATGGTTGAAGTCTTGGACTTAGAGGCTTGAAACTCATGCTGGACACAGGTGTGTGCATACCCAAAATCCCAAGAGGAGAATGGAGAAGAAGGGATTGTGGTGTGGCCATCTCCCTGGGAGTTGATTTCTCACTTTCTGTCTCTCTCTGCCCTATAGCGAAAATGCCCTATAGCAAAAATCTCTCTCTCAAAAAAAGAGAAAAATAGGAAATTATTTTCTCATAGCGCTGGAAGCTAGAAGTTCATTATCAAGGTGCCAGCATCAAGTGAGGGCCTTCTTGCTATATCCTCACGTGGTGGAAGACACCATTTTACTTTGTATTATGATGCATTATTACTTTAAGTAAATATTTTTATATTGGGATCATTTGGCAGGGAAATAAATGTCTGGAAATATATCTTTGAGCTATTAGAATGCTGCCAAATAAAATGTTTATTTTCCAAAAATTTCATTTAAACCCTGCCAGTATATTTATTGCCATAATAAAATACTCTGCTTTCACAAAAATGTTGTGTTATTGAGATTTTTCAGGAAGAAAACTTGCATTAAGCAATTGACATTTTTATTTTTAGTTTTACAATAACTTTTATATTATCATACACACTATTCATTAAAATAAGAGAAATGTTTACTTAACTAATTTTCTTGCCTGTGAGTCTAAGAATTATAATATACCTTCCCCTTTTTGTGTTTTCTTTATTCATCATCAAGTATATGCTTGTAAGAGTGAAAGAGACAGAGACAGAGAAAGAGAGAAGCACCTTCACAGGGTCTGGCCACAGTGTGATCCCTTTTCTTCAGTCCTCCAGCTCATTGGATCCTGGGTATTCATGTAAGTCACCTACACGTTTCAGGCTTATTGAGTCAGGGATTTGAACCACTGTTGCTATGTAGGATCTGGCTTTTCTTGAGCATTGCACTACTGCTGGGTCATGGAACTGTTCTCTTTTTTAAAACACCAGCTTTATTAAGATATGCAGATATTAGGGTCCGGCAGGTGGCGTGGTGGTTAAGGGCACTGGACTCCCACATGGCCGACTGCAGTTTGAGTCCTGGACCTGGTGGCTTGCTTTCTCACTTTCCTTCTCTCAATCTCTCACTCTGTCCCTCTCTGGCCAAATTAAAAATAAATAAAGTTAAATAAAATAATTTTTGGGGGGAGAGTTTTTTTGCTATAGAGCGTGTGCGCTCACCAGAAAGACAGAGACAGAGAGACAGAAAACGAGAAATCA